GAGAGAGAGAGAGAGAGAGAGAGAGAGAGAGAGAGAGAGAGAGGACAAAATAAAATGGGAAACTCTGGAAATAGATACCTGCCTCTTCAGACAAGCATGCACACCAATCTATTAATCCTTTTCATTTCTTTGGTGTACAATCCCAGAGAGCAGTGCTTCTCATTTAAATACCTGAAACCCTGGGGGGAAGATTTCTTTCCTAGGTAAACTGTCATGGGTGGAAGAACTGTAAGGTAGCTAACTATAATTTCTCACACGATTCAAGAAAGACTCACTTTTTGTGTCCTCATGTCTAGTTTCCACCTGAAGAGTTTCCGTAATCAGAACTGGAAGAGTTTTCGTTTCATTTTGGATATTTGAAATCCACATAACATTGTTGTTGTTACATGCTGTCATGTAACATGAGCAACCCTGTATAGGGTTTCCAAGGAGCAGCTGGTGAGCTTGAACCACCGACCTTGCAGTTTAAACGACTTTGCAATTTGACACATTATATTAGCCCACAGTGCCACACCAGGATTCCCACATAGCATTAATGCCACTCTATTTACTCAGAAAAAAATCAGTTGGGTAATAATTAGGAAATTTCAACTTTAAAAAAATATTTTAGGGCAGCCTCAATAATTGGATGCCATCATTGTTTCTAAGGAGAAATCCAGTCATACTTTTTCTGAAATGGATTTGTTCGTTTTCTGTTAGTCCATGGTATGTTTAATATTCTTTTATAATGTCATAATTCAAGTGCATCAATTCTTCTCCAGTCTTCTGTATTTCTTGTCCAGCTTTTACATGCACATGAGGTGATTGTAAATACCATGGCTTGGGGCAGGCACACCTCAGTCTTCAAAGTGACATCTTTGCTCCTAACACTTTAAACAGGCCACTTGCAGCAGATTTGCCTAATGCACTATGCTGCTTGACCTCTTGACTGCAGCATCCATGAGTGTTGATTGTGGATCCAAGTAAAATGAAATATTTGACAACTTCAATCTTTTCTCCATTTGTCGTGTAATTTATTGGGTCAGTTGTGACGATTTGTGCTTTCTGAACATTGAGGTGCAATCCATACTGAGAAGGCTCTAGCCTTTGATCTTCATCAGTATTTTAACTCCTTTTCATTCCCAGCAAGTCAGTTTATGTTATCTGCAAATTGCAGGTTGTTAACAATTCTTCCTTCAGTCCTCATGCCTAGTTCTTCACACAATTCAGCTTCTTGGATTATTTGCTCAGCATATGACTGAATAAGTATGGTGAAGAAATACAATCCTGACACACACCTTTTATTATGATTTTATACCATTAAATATCCTCTTGTCTTCAAACAACGGATTGCTTCTCGGTCTATGTACAGGCTCAGCATGAACACAACTAAGTGCTCTGGAATTCCCATTCTTTGCAATGCTAACCATAGTTTGTTATAATTCACATAATCAGATGCCTTTGCATAGTTAATAAAACACAAGTAAGCATCTTTCTGATAATCTTTCCTTTCAGTCAAGATCCATCTGACATCAGCAATGATATCCCTTATTCCAAATTCTTTTCTGAATCCAGTTTGGATTTCTGGCTTCTTTATGCCAATGTACTGTTGTACCTGCTTTTGAGTTATCACTAGCAAAGTATACTTGCATATGATATTAATGATATTGTTCCATAATTTCTGTAATCTCTAGGGTCAGCTTTCTTTGGAATGGGCAAATATACGGATCTCTTTCATTGCAGTTTGGACTCCTTTCTCCAATACCATCAATTCTTGATATGTGACTCTTTTAAATATTAGGATACTGATCAAGTATTTTTGGTACAGCAACTCTGTGCATTCTCCTCTTCTTATTTTGATGCTTCCTGCACCATTCAATATTTTACCCAAAGAATCCATCAATATTTCAACTCTCATGAAGCTTGAATGTTTTTCATCCGTTCTTTCAGCTTGAAAAACGTTGAGTGTGATCTCTCTCTTTTTTAAACTCAAGTTCTTCATAAATTTCATTATAATGCTTTAGTTTGTCTTCTTGAACTGTCCTTGAAATTTCCTGTTCAGCTCGTTTACTTCATTTTTTGCAGTTGCTTTAGCTTCTCTTCATTCAAGAGCAAGTTTCAGAGTTCTTTTGTATTTCCATTTGGTCATCTTTCTTTCCTGTTCTTTTACTGATCATTTTTGCACGTATATTATTGATGTAATTCCACAAGTCTTCTGGTCTTTGGTCATTAGAGCCTAATGCATCAAATCTATTATTCGGATGTTCCTAAATTCAGAAAGAATAATGGGTCAGATTTTGGCTCACATGGACTTGTATTAATTTCCTTCCACTTCAATCTAAACTTGCATATGAGCAACTGATGCTCTGTTCCGATGTTATTAAGCTTCTCCATTCATGTCTTACCACAAATATAGTTGATTTGATTCCTGTGTAATTCATCTGGTGAAGTCCAAAGGTGTAGTTACCATCTATATTGTTGAAACCCTTTTACTTTCCAACTTGTAAGTACATGGATATTATTCTGTCACAGACAGCATTGTATTTTAAGATAGATCTTGAAATGTTCTTTTTAATGACAAATATGATGTCATTCCTCTTCAATTTGTCATTCCCAATATACTATAACATACGATTGTGCAATTCATAACGACTAATACCAGTCCATTTCAGTTCAATTATGCCTAAAATATAGATCTTTATTCATTTTGTTCCATTTTTTAATATTTGAGAACATTTACTGCTTTATTAGCTGACTAGATTACAAAACTAATCGCGGTAGACACCTTAGTTCATCCTTCCAATAAGCCTGTTAATCTTATCTTCCCTGTTGCCAGCATCTCCACCTTCTACAAAATGGGTGGTCTATTTCTTCATTCCACCACAAGGTGAAGATAATTTGAAGGGCCACAGGAGGTTATTTGCTTCTTTGAAATGTTTCCCAATGGTGTAGATCTCATGAATCAGATCCTCCATGCAGTTGATGCCATATTTACCAAGAGAACGTCTGCATGTTATCTGTCAAGGCAATTCACTTATTATTGATTTTGCCATAACCATGCCTGTAAATGAGTTCATTCACTGACTTTAGGTTTGGGTACCCCCATGCAATATGTGATTTTACAATCTTCTGCATGTTAATTGAAGCCTTGCTGAGCTTAACAGAGGCGAAAAAACTGCAACACCTTTTGGACCTTTAAGCTCACACCATTGATACCTGTGATCCTGATAACAAATGCCAGTTTGGGTGTGCCAGGTACATAGAAGTTGTCCTTTTTTTTTTTTTTTCTTGCCATCCTAGCCATTGGAATCTCAGTTCTGTCCATCTGCCTCTATTCCTTATAATAGTACTTGGCTTTTTCATAGATAAGCTTCCCCTTTGCTTTTTTGAAGCATCTTTTGGTCAAATTTCTTTCTCGGGGACTTGATCTTCGTTAGGTGCCATGGAGTCAGTCCTGCCTCATAGTGACCTTATTCACATCAGAACGAAACACTGCCTGATCCTGGACCAAACCTCCCTTGTTGTTGTTGTTGTTGTTAAGTGCCTTCGAGTCGGTTCCGACCCATAGTGGCCCTGTACAGGGTTTCCGAGGGTGTAAATCCTTACGGGAGTAGAAAGCCGCATCTTTCTCCCGCGGAGCGGCTGGTAGTTTCGAACCACTGACCTTAAGGTTCGCAGCCCGATTCGTAACCACTACGCTACCAGAACCTCCCTTAGTTCTGTGAAATTCCTTGGATTTTTCTTCAGGGTCTCTGGCAAAGCAGGAACTTTCTCTTTCTTCTCTTTGACACCCTACATGGTTCCAGCCACTTAAAAAAAGCCCATTCCAGTTTTGACGATTGCCAACTTTTCTAAATTCATACTCAGTACATTCCACATTCCAACTGTTAATGGATGTTTGCAGCTGTTTCTTTGCCTATTGAGCCATGGCCCAATTTACAAATGAAGGTCTTGAAAGAATTGCCCTATCCACAACATTAAAGCCAGTTCTACTTTCAGGAGACAGCTCTTCCCCTGTCATATCTGCTTTCCAACCCGAGGGACTCATATTCTGGCACTGTATCAGACAATATTTGCTGCTATTCATAAGGTTTTCAGTGATTACACTTGAAAACGTGGTTTACCTC